AGGTAAACATCCTTCTGATATTCTCTGCTTTCAGCCAAGATCCATCGGACATCTGTGTTGTACTGACCTCTAATTGTGTACTGCTTTTCCCTTCACCCAAGTTAATACGTGTCTGCTATCTGGTTAGTGATTATGCCTCACATCCCTGGTAATCTTATTTGTCTGTATGGCAGTTTCTTCTTCTTTCAAAAAATTGTGATTTGGATAAAAATTGAGAGCAAATTGGTTTTCCAGTCAATAATTCACATGCTTTTTATGACGTTGATTGCAATCCTTACTCTTCCCACTTCCTCTCTGTGTTTACTTATTTCCCTTCCTTCTTTCCTATGCTTTTCTGCTTCTGAGCTTTGTCCCTGGCAAATACAGCCCTTTTAAGCTCATGTGGTTGATTGCTCCCTCGAGTTACTGTTCACCATATAGTCCTGTCTATCATTTGTTGGAAAGTTAAGCCACTTAACTTTCAGTGAGTTCAGCGTTAGCCTTGAAGGGTGTCTAAAGGCCATAGTCTTGGGGATGGCACCAGTCTCTTGTTGTTAGACCAATAAGCCTGATCTTTTATATATTAAGTTTGGTTCCACATTTTTCAGAACCTCCTGTGGTGATCCTTTCAGGGTGGTCAGCAGTGGGATCTGGATATCGTCTAGTTCTTTTGGTCTCAGGGTTGTGGGGCCTGGGGTTCACATGGTCCATTAGTCCTCTGAACTAATTATTTCCTAGGTCTTTGAGTTTTCTTCACCTTTCTTTGCTGTGGATGGGGAGAGACTAATAGTTGCATCCTAGATGTAACTCACAGCTTTTAAGACCATATTTGGTCACCTTTTTTGGACTAATGTTGCATAGCACTCCACTGTGTACATGTACCATTGTTTGTGTATCCACTCATCCATTGATGAACATTTATTTCCATCCTTTTGCTTTTGTGAATGTTTCAATTAACATTTGTTGTTGTTGTTAAGTGCCATCGAGTCGGTTCCGACTCAAAGTGACACTGTACGGGGTTTCCAAGGAGTGGCTGGTGAAGGTCTATAACTTCACCAGTGTCTGTATCTAGAGCTTTTCTTTCTGTAGCTGTAAAGTGCTGGTGTAAGTTAAGCGCTGGACTGCTAACTTCAAGGTTGGCAATTCAGTTCCACCATATTTTCTCCAGTCTGTGGGTTCGCTTTTTATTCTTTTGGAGACTTCTCTTGATGCACATAAGTGTTTAGCTTTTAGGAGGTCCACAGTACACCACCACCACCAGCTGTCTATTTATCATCTTGTTGTTTGTGAATTTTCAGTTATGTTTGACAGACTATTCATTCCATAAATTAGGACCAATAAGTTTACCCTGGACTTCTGGTGTGGCACTGTAGGATCAGCACTGAACTGCAAACCACAAGGTCACCACCAGCTGCTTCTAGGAAACACTATACAAGGTTGCTGTGAGTCGAAGTAGACTCCACAGCGCTTAACAACAAGTTTACCCTATATTTTCTAACAAAATCTTTATAGTTTTAGGTTTTGCTCTATCTTTGACTCAGTTTTTTTGTGTGGGGTGAACTATGGATCTTGTTTCATTTTTTTTTGCAAATAGATACTCAATTTTGCCAGGACTGTATGTTAAAGAGACTATTACATTCCTACTTAATGGATTTCAGTTCTTTGTCAAAGATCAGCTGTCCATAGGTGGATGGATTTACTTTTGAGTTGCGTTCTCAGTTCTGTTCCATTGGTCTGTATGTCTGTCACTGTACCAATGCCAGGCTGCTTTGACTACCATGGCTGTCATAGTGTTTTTATTGGGAGATTTTTGGAAATAGATCACCAACCAGATCTTCCTGGTGCTAGTCTGGAAGTCTCTAGCAACAGGCAAACCTCCACTTACAGACAGAGGGATGCTTATGCGTGATTTACATTGGCAGGGACTCAAACTTGGGTCTCCTTCATGTTGTTAAGTGTCATCAAGTCAGTTCCGACTCATAGTGACCCTATATAGGGTTTCCAAGGAGTGGCTGGTGAGTTTGAACTGCCAGCTTTGTGGTTCAAGCTGGCTTTGCAGTCCCCAGTGCATTATCCCACAGGTCAACTGCAGGGAAAGCAAGAATTCGACTACTGAAGCTCCACTGCTTCCTTTCCTTTTCTTTCTTTAAGAGGAAAATAATTCACAGTTTGAATTGCCAAAATCCCATCCAGGTGAAAGAGAGTTAGAGAGTCATAGATACATGTCCTCTAGTGGGCCATGGCTATCTGTCACACAATTACTATCTTACCACTGACTGCTTGTATTTCAAAGGAACGTGTGTACTTCACTGCCTGACTGGTCACAGGGGGTGACATGTTGTCTGCTGTCCACTAGGGAGCAGTAAAAACATTACACCAAGGAACAGTGTCCTCCAAACATGCACCTGCCAAACATGAAACGTTAGTTTAATTTTTATTATTTTAACCTGGCTGTGGAGTTTAAAGACTTGAAAGCAGTTCATTTTGTACTGAAAATTATCAAAAGATCCCTTTCTTATTTTTTAGGTATTAAGAGAACTTACAACATGTGTTTTCAAGAAAGTCAGCCTTTGCAAGTGATTTTTGAGAAGAATAGGTGTACTAATATACTAACGATGCGTCCAAGGTAATGACTTCTTTGTTGTGTTTCTTTCTGAATGTAATATGATCACAGAGTAAAGAATTCATGCCTAGAGCTTTCCCATTATTTAAAAAAAATTTTTTTTTAGGTTAAAATTTGACTTAGAGAAATCACTCTACAGGGTCAGGGAGCAAATTTTGACAAAAGGAATACTAGATAATAGCTGCCCAGTGGTTATCAACAGTAACTTAGTGGCCCAGAAAATTCTAAAAACATTCCCTCGGTGACTTTCTACATCATTGTTAAGTGCCATCGAGTTGGTTCTGACTCACAGCGACCCTGTCTAGGGTTTCTGAATCTGTAAATCTTTACAGGGGCAGAAAATCTCACCCTTCTCCTTTGGAGTGGCTGATGGGTTTAAAAGTTGGACTTTGTGGTTAGCAGTCTAGTGCTTATCCAGCAGCGCCACCAGGACTCCTCTAGCACACATGGTGTGGTTTGTTGTTAAGTGCTGTCGAGTCAGTTCTAACTCACAGCTACCCTCCATAGGGTTTCTGAAGAGCGGTCGGTGGGTTTGACCCTCTGACCTCAGAGTTAGCAGTCCAATGCTTATCCAACAGTGCCACACCAGGACTCCCTCAAGCATACATGTAGTTAAGTGCCTTTGAGTTGCACATAGCACAGGGGATTTTTAACACATGTGATGTGGATTGCTTTAATCTCAAAGTATTTTAGTTTCATTTTTGTTTTTCTAGAGAATGAGAAGGCATATCTGTTAATGAAAGAATACCTGATTTTTCAGTTAAACATTAAACATGACATATTAATTAGCACCACTTTGGGAGCCAAAAGGTATTTGATTCTAACTGTTTTTCGGCTTAACAAAGCAGTACGTGTTCCTTGTCACAAATCAAAAAAATCTAGAAGAGTAGAAAGATCAAAAATGAAAATCTTGCCCCTCTGTCTGCCCACTATATCCCACTTAGCAGGAGTAACCTCTATTAACAATTGGAATATATTTTTCTAGACTGTTTTATTTATAGCCAATCTCTTCATATCTCTCTACCTTCCTGTGGCTATGGAGACCCCTCTGTCTCACACACATACACATATTCATAGCACATACTACAGGACTCTAGGTTTCTTTCTCAAAGGAAATCTGGCTGGTCCCAGGGCACAGTGAGCTTCTGTGTTCCCCCAGACCTGATCTAGGCCAGGCTCTTTTGCCTGTCTTCAAGGGTTACTAAATATTTTCTCTTCTTTTTGTTTTTAAAATATTTTTTTCTGACAGGTCTCGAGAACTGAGGTAGAAGTAACAGTAAATGCATAGATTCTCTTTCTTGAACTGTACAGCCCAAGTTTCCGTCTGAGATTTATCAACATTGCTCACTTTGTTTTTCCACTGGGGAAGATCTTGAACAACAGTGAAAGTAATAGTGAATAGCTAAGTTGAGGCATGAAGTATGTGGTATCTGGATGCAGGCACCAAGGGTATCTTTAAGTTATGCCATATTTCAAAATGCACATATCTTTTCAGGGTAAAATCTCAATATTTGCTAGTTTTGCTATTTTATTATGAAAAGATTCCATATTTGCAAACTAGAGCAAATATTGACATTATACCATGAAAAGATCTTTTTGTCTTTATATATTCCAGGATATTCCAATTTCAGAGTAATAAGGGATTTCTACTGTCTCTCTAAGGAGCTCTGGTAGCAAAGTGGTTATGAGTTGAGCTATGAACCTCAAGGTCAACAGTTTGAAACTATCAGCCATTCCATAGGAGAAACATGAGGCTTTTTGCTCCCGTAAAGATTTACAGCCTCAGAAACTCTCTACAGGGTCACTATGGTTCGGAACCAACTCCACAGCACACCACCACCACCACCTTCTCTCTACTAGCTCTCCCCATACCCTCCTTATTCAAAAGTGTCATTTCAAGTGGCAAAATTTGGCCTGTTAGGTCTCCTCCTTCCATGATTCAGAAATTCTCTTAGACTTCCCTCCCACACTCCTTGTCTACTTTCCAGTTTGCAGATCTTCATTAGAAGAGAGTTAGTTCTGGGTGTGGCCCCAGCTAGACCGGAGTTCCCGTAGGGCAGAGACAAGGGTGTTTTCTACTTGGTTCGCCAGCCCCAGCCTGGCACAGAGGAGACTCTGAATACTATTAAATGATTCCATCTGTCCCTTTCCTCTCAAGAAGGAATCAAGACCCACAGAGATCAAGTGACTTACTTGAAGTCAAAACGTTTGTTGTCAGCAGAGATGGGCCTAGGACCAGAGCCTCCTTCTCCTTAACTCATGCTGGTCAGTCGTCATAGCCTCTCTGGGGTCTCAGGGTAGCAGACTGAGAAGAGACACTAGTCAGCATTTCAGGACACAGGTTTGACTTCATGATAAACTTGAGTGTCTCTAGAGCAGGCAGTGCCACACGCCAAGTCTCACTCAAAGGAGTAAACTCACACGAAGTCTTACACAGTTCTCATTGCCACACTGCATATTATTCCTCTCCTACCTAAACTCATTTTTATCACAAAAACCTGCATCCCATAATAAACAGCTTTCAGGAAGGAAGGTGGTGTCCAGGATATATGTATTGTTGTTGTTGTTGTCCGGTGCGATCGAGTCAGAACCGACTCATAGCAACCCCATGCACAGCAGAACGAAACAATGTCCAATCCTGGGCCAACCTCACTACCGCCGCCACACTTGGCGCCATCAATGATGTCACCTGGCTGATCCATCTAGTTGGGGGTCTTCCTTTTTTTCTCTGACCCTCCACCTTACCGAGCATGACATCCTTCTCCAGCGACTGTTCTCTCCGGACAATGTGTCTAAAGTATGAGAGACGAAGCCTAGCCATCTTGGCCTCCAAGGAGCACTCTG